GGACAGAGCCTTTTTCTAAAGAAAAAGACAAAAAGAAAAAAAAAAAAAAAAAAAAGAAATTAATATATACAAAGAGTCCTATAAGGCCTGCTGGGTGGACGGGCAGTGCTGAGAACCAGGGGGCACCAGTCTCTGCCAACTTCCTGCCTGGCCCGCTCCCCCCAGTTCTGGAGCTGCGGCCTCCCACCCATCCCCATGTGCCCAGGGCGGGTGGGCGTGGTGCCCCGCCCCGCCCCCTCCCGGTGCCCACCGTGGATACTGCATGATGTGAACCATGGTTTTGAACTCTGTTCCTGCCCCCTCCCCAGAGCCCCGCCCTGGACCCACTCCGGAGCCTGCCCCGGCCGGCGGGCGGCGGCCTGTGGGGCGAGGTGGCCCCTGCCCAGCTCCTGCTGGAATGAGAAGCACAGACTCCTTCCCGGCCCCTCTGCCCGCCCCCCACCCCCGCCAGGCCGGGGTGCCCCCTGCCACCTCGTTGGCCATTCGGGGGTGGCGAGGGGGCATGGCTGTTTCTTGTGGCTGTGTTTGTTGTTTGGGTTTTAAAAAAGGGAAATTGAGACTGCAAGTGGGGGAGGTGGTGGGTTTGGGGGGGTCTCCCCGACTCCAGGCGCGCCTCCCCCTTGTAAATGAGTCTCCTTTATTGCCTGCCTCTGCTGTGAATTAACTTGTTCTGTGTATTAAACTGGGCCTGACCCCCCCCTGCCCACGACTGCCTCCTTCTTCAGGCCGGTGTGGGACGCCGAGCGGGAGACAGCGGGCCTGGCTGGGGGAGAAGCAACCGAGTTAACAGCTGGAGCTGCCCCCCACACCCCGCACCCTGCCTCTTGCTGGCTTTGTCCCAGCCCTCTTTGCCTTGCTGGAAGGGAGGAGGAGGGGGATGGGGTAGAGGGGGCTCCCACCCAGCCAGCTGTGGTTGCCCTGGCAACAGACTGCTGCAGCTGCAGCGGGAAGCGGCGAGGAGGGAGGTGGGGGAGCTGGGGGCTGGGGGAAGGGAAGGGATGCAAAGAAGATGGGCCGGCCGCTCCGGGAGGGAGCCTGGGTGGGGAGCAGGCGGGCACCTCACCCCAGTCCCAGCCTTCGTCTGGGCTCCCGGTCCCGGATGTGCAGCACAGAGCGGCGGGGGAGGGGCGACGGAGAGAACGTTGTCAGAGGAGGGAAGGAGGGAACAAATGCAGAGACCCAGGGAGGTGGAGAGGCTGAGACGGGGCGGGGTGGTGGGGTGAGGCAGAGGCCGGACAGACGTCGTCGGCAGAGGAAAACGGGTATGAGTCACCCATCTGTGCAGACAGGATCAGAAAGGAGACGCAGGAGAGAGCCGAGGAGGGAGAGAGGGAGAGATACAGACAAGGAGAGAGCAGGGAAACAGAAGAGACAGGGACTTGGTGGGACAGGGAGGGAGTAACCGTGATGAAAAATAGCAGACACACTGGGGAGGGACAAGGCGGGGTAGTGATTTGGAGAGAAACAGCAGGAGAGGGGACCAGGAAACTAGGGGAAAGAAAGCGAGAGACATCTGGGGAGAGAGAGAGAGAGAGTTAGGATTCCAGGACAGAGCCCTGAGAGACAAGTGGTCTTGAGGGGAGAGACTTACAAAGAATTTAGGGTAACAAGAGTCAAAGGTATGAAAGCGATTCCTGAAGACTGGGCCAAGAGAGAGCCAGAGGTGGACAGGAGGCAGGGACTAGCGGAGGGTGCAGGGGGGCGCCTGTGGGACGGAGAAGGGGTTGAGGGAGGCAGAGAAGGTGAAAACTGGGGCAAGATGGAGCGGGGACCAGCAGAGCACAGTTGAGGCGAGACTAGTGGCTGGCACGCGTGAGAGCTGTGGGGTGTTGGGGGTTGCTGGTGTAGCTCACCGCTGCCAGAAGAGGATGTGAGAACAGTTTGTTCCACTGTTTCCCTACCCCCCGCCCCCCCGGCCCCCGCCACCCCCAGTGATGGGGAGGGAGGAGGGCTGACGGGCAGACAGGAGCTGAGGACCGGCCTCGCGGGGGGAGATGTGAAGTGTCTACAGAGCGCCAAAATTTATTTTACTTTATTTTTATTGTGCTTTAAGTGAAAGTTTACAATTCAAGTTAGTCTCTCATACAGAAATGTACACATACATTGTTATGTGACCCTCGCTGCTCTCCCTATACTGTGACAGCACACTCCTCCTTTCCCACCCCTGATTTCCCGTGTCCATTCAACCCGCTCCTGCCTTCTCATCTCACCTCGGGACAGGAGCTGCCCATTTAGTCTCATGTATCTACTTGAGCTAAGAAGCACGCTCTTCACGAGTTATCATTTTATGTCCCATAGTCCAGTCTAATCTTTGTCTGAGGAGTTGGCCTGGGGAATTGTTTTGGTTCTGGGTTGACAGAGAGTCCAGGGGCCATGTCTTCTGGGGTCCCTCCAGTCTCAGTCCAACCATTAAGTCTGGTCTTTTTACTAGAATTTGAGTTCTGCACCCCACTTTTCTCCTGCTCTGTCAGGGACTAGAGAGCTCTAGAATTTTTAGCAGATGAGGATAGCTGGTTCGCGTCCTCTGGACATGATCCTCACCCTTTTGGAAAAAGGAGCCCTGGTGGCACAGTGGTTAAGAGCTCGTCTGCTAGCCAAAAGGTCGGCAGTTCGAATCCACCAGCCGCTCCTTGGAAACCCTGTGGGGCAGTTGTACTCTGCCCTATATGGTTTCTATGAGCCGGAATCGACTCGACAGCTACGGGTTTGGTTTTTGGAAGAAGATATTGGAAAGGGGACTGAGTCCGAGAAGCAGCAGGCTTAGCGCTGAGACAGAAACTCAGTGATGGAGGGGGGCGCAGGTAAACCGGTGAGGTGGGTCGCAAACAGGTGGGGCTGCTGGGCGGAGCCAGATCTTCTGACACCCCACAAGGGGCCAGACATTGGGATTTTCACGAGGAAAATTTCCTGATTTGGAAAATTGGCTTGACCCTGATTCCTGGGTCCAACTACAAGTATTCACCAAGCCAGATGTAGATCCGGGGCCATGAGTTTAAGACCCTTGCCAGCTAGGAGAGCTCCCAGAAGGCCAGACCCAAGGCTGAGCTGGGGAGAGGGGTGTCTTTCTGTGACACTTGGGTGCACCCAGGGCCTGCAGTGGGCTGTGGGGTGGGTGGGAGGCCACACTGCACTTCCCCAGGCCTGGAAGCAGGCTTGCTTTCTACCCTAAACCACCAAGCAGATGACTGGCAGGGGGCCTCTGTTCGGGGGCCTGGGCAGGAGATGCAAATGAGCCAGGGCTAGTGAGGGGTGTGGCCCGGGGCGCTGGAGACCAGCCAAGGAGGTACAAAGGACGGGCCTGGATCCCGCGGGTGTGCCAGGCTGGTCATCCCGCTTTCTTCGTGCACCATCTCCAGATTTTAGGAGTTGACCACTAATTCTACCTGCGGGCTGGCCTGGCTTTCTGGCCGGCTGTGTGTGACTCTGGTAGACTCTTGCTCTTTCTTTTTTTTTTTTAACTGAAGGACGTTTTACATTCTGAGTGTTGGACTTTGGACATTTGGGTTCCAAGGAAAAGAAGTTGGCAAGGCTAGTGTTTCCTGGTTCTGAGGGAAGCGTGTGGGGAGGGGGTGACATGTTCGGGTTGGGGGCAGGAGGACAGGCAGATGTTGGGCCACGGGTACTGCAGCGCTCCACCCTCCCGCCAGGGAACACACGAGCCACTTCTATGAAACATTTATTTTCCTTTGAAACCTCCAGAAACATGCCAGAAAATCTCAAGACAAGGAAGGAAAAATAAAATAAAGACAATAGAGAATAATAATAATAAAAAAATCCAAATGAAACAAATCATCTTATGAAAAAAAACTGCTATCTTCAGCCATCAGATAGAACACCAACCTCAAATTAAATAGATTCGTTTTGTAGAGATCTTTAAAAAATAATAGAAAACAAAGCCAAAAATCATAATTTACACTTGTCAATATACATGATTAGGTCCCCGGAATGATCAGAATGATCTGAAGATGAGAAGAGGCGGCAATTAAAAAAAAAAAAACTCCAGGTTGGGGTCTGAGGGAAGGGGTGAGAGGACTATGGAACCCCAGAAAAGGGGGTGGCAGAGGGGGCAGAGACATCACAGTAGTTGGCCAGGGCTGAGGACCAAGGCCCGCAGGCCCCAACACCGTGGCCGCCCCCATCTCACACCGTGGTGGGGCTGCCCACCGAGGTTCTATCTCAGAGGGGCTCGGTGCTGCCTGGGGTCAGAGAGCAATCACGGGGGGCATGGTGAGTGCCCGCGTCTCTCGCCTTCCCCAACCTGGCACCTCCTGGAGTGGCGGCATCTTGTGCGGCCCCAGAAGCCCCCTTCCTGAGGTGCGTGGCCCCAGAGAGAAGGTGTGGGGTCTCTGGCCCAGAGCCGGGCTGCCTGGCAGGGGCTCTGGCCCAGAGCGAGCTGCTCCAAGAGCCAGGCCTGGCCACCACCTCCCCGGCTGGTGCCTCCCCAAAGTGAACCCCACTCGCCCTCCCGCTGACCCTCCGCCCATGGGGACACGCCTCGGCCCTCAGCTTGAGGTTGGGGAATCCACAGACTGTGGCCATACAGACTTGGCGCAACTCTACATGAAAAAATAAATATATATATATATATTTTGTTTGTAAAGAAGGAAAAAAAAGAAGCTGTTTCCTGGGTGAAGGGTGTAGTACCACACAGGCTTGGCTGCCTGGCAAGCCACCCCTTATCGCCTTTGGAGAACCAGTGTCTCGTGGGCCTCGCCCCGCGAAGCAGTCCCGGGGAAGCACAGTGAGTGTCCGATGGGCTCCTCTGCCGTGGGGCCTGCAAGGTGGCCCGGGAAACGTGCCAAGGGGGAACAAAAGCAGGTGAGGGGGTGAAGGCTGTTCTTCTCCAGCCCTGTCCTGAGGGCTCCACGAAGCCCTCTGGGTGCACGGAAGAGGCCTTGTGGCTGCCGTGGCAGGGCTAGGTCTTGCCGGGTGGGAGGAGGGAGGACTGCCAGGGCCTGGCCTGGTCGGCAGCTCCGAGGGGGCAGGCGCTGTGGCCTCTGGCTGTGGAGGGGCTGATAGAAAGACTGTAGAAACCCTCACAACCGTACAGAGTTCCTCTCTCAAAGAACGTTCTCTCTCGGTACTGGGGTTTCCTCGTTCCATCCTGGGACCCCCAAGAAAATAACTTCTGCTCTAAGGAAGTGCTCCTGGTGGCTTTTTGGAAGGAGGGGGTTGGGAGCGGGTGACTTCCTGGGGCTAGCACGCTTGGAATGGTAGGGCCCTGTTTCCACATGGCCCTCATCTCTCTGGGATGTGGGCCAAGACCGGGCCATTTTACACTGGGATTTTTCACATGGCCGGCTTGGCCCCACAAGCCCAAACTCTGTCCTACGTAGTGAAGAAACCTGGTCCGTGAGCTCCTGGAGCGTGGGGGTTTGGAGACTGTGCATCCCTCCCGCCTCCTCTCCCCTTCCCAGGCTTGACGGCTTGCCCCTAGGAAGAGGCTGGACAGGGACAGGGGGATGAGCCCCTCAGGGGTGGTGGAGGCAGGGCCCTGCCCTCAGGGGACCACAGGCGGGCAGCTCTGAGGGACGCCTGAGAACACATCAACCACCCCCGCCCCCCGGCTCACCGCCCCTCGAGGCCTTGGTCCCACCGCCATCCGTGGCTCAGGAGCCGGGCGGTTGGCGCAGGGGCCCTGGCTGGGCTACCTTGGTCACAGCTGGCCGGAGCCGAGCTGCGGAGTGAGGGGAGCAGAAGGCCCCCCTGTCCGCCCACGGGCGAGGGGCGGGGCAGAGGGCGGCAGGGTGCGGTGGCCACCTCAGAGTCCCTTCTTCTCCCTGCAGAAGATCTCGGCGAACTTGCGCAGCTGCTCGCTGGCGGCCTGAGACTCCTCCTGCAGCCGCTGGTTGTTCTGCCGCAGGCTGGCCACCTCCGACCGCAGGACCACCTTGTCCTGCTTCTCCTGCGGGCGGCGGGGGCGGGGCGTCAGGGGGCGGGGCCCGGCTCGGCTGTGGTCTAGAGCCCGAAGCCGGACCGGGCTGCCAGGGTTCAAAGCCCAGCTCTGCTTCTCGGCGGCTGAGTAACCTTGGGCAAGTCACTTGCCGTCTCTGGGCCCGTTTCCTCAGTTCTACAAGGGGATGATAACGAGACCTACCTGACAGGTGGGGAAGGTCTCCCTGAGGCCCTACGTGTAAAGATCTGAGAACACAGCCTGATGTGGAGCAGCCGCTCGACCAACATCACTATTATTAGTATGATGACCTCATCTCATCCTCACAGCCACCCAAGACTCGGGGACTGCAGTCATCCCTGTTTCCCTGGGAGAGTGGGGAGCCGGGGTGTGGATTTGGGGCTGGCTGCCTGCCCAGGCTCCACTGCCTCGTCCAATGTGCCTTCCGGTATAATGTGACATCTTAAGGCAGTTGCCTGTCCAAGGCCACTCAGTGGGGTGGGAATTTGACCCTGGCCCCTGAGTCCTGTGCTTGAGGACTTACACATTACACTCTGCCACCATTTTTTATCCAAAAGTACATAAAGCAACATGTAAGACTTCCTTGGCCCTTTTTCTCTTCACCCTCACACACCCCAGAAGTGAATGCGGCAATGCACACTTTGGACGTCACCTCCCAGAGACCACTCTAGACCCAAGTTGTTAAACGTTTTTTTAAACTATGATGATGTTCTATGAAACGGTTCTGCAGTTTGCTTTGTTATTCACTTAAGTTATTGGACTTGCTGTGTGTGTCCATAAATACGGGTGGCCTGTTGTTTACACAGCCATCCTCCTGCTGATGGATGGCCGCGCTGGTCCCACGTTTTCACTGCCAGCAACACTGCAACGAACGTCCTTGCTTACAGAGCGTTTGGTACCCGTGCTTGAAAGTCTGTAGGGCAAACTCCCACAAGTGCAACCGCTGGGTTTGACAGGTTCCACATTAAAATTTCTGATATTGCCCAGCTGCCCTGCAAAAAGGCAGGGCCAACTAACTGTCTCCCCAAGAATGTGTGAGTCTCTCCATGTGTTTACCAGCCGGGCTGGGATGGACAGCGTCCCCCGAGATTCACATCTACCCGGAACCTGAGCATGTGACCTTTGGAAATAAGGTAGTTGCAGATGTAATCAAGATTGGATGAGGTCATGCTGGACTGGGGCAGGAGGGGGGCCCTAATCCTCCTGACTGGTGTCCTTATGAGAGCCGACATAAAGACAAACGCCCGGGGGGCCGTGGGAAACTGGAGGCAGAGATTGGGATGACACACCTACAGGCCAGGGATTGCTGACCACCACCCGCAGCCAGAAAACGGCACGGAAGGGAGAGGGCATAGCCCTGCCAACACCTCGAGTTTGGACTTCTAGCCTCCAGAAGGGGCCCTGGTGGCACATGGTTAGGAGCTCGGCTGCTCACCAAAAAGGTCGGCCGTTGGAATCCACCAGCCACTCCTTGGAAACCCTATGGGGCAGTTCTACTCTGTCCTACAGGGTCGCTATGAGTCGGAATTGACTCGATGGCAAGGGTACAGCCTCCAGAACCGTCAGAGAGTAAGTTTTTGCTGTCTTGGGTCACCGGTCTGTGGCACTCTGCTAATGACAGGCGCAGGAAGTGAATACACCAGCCTTCAACGGCACTTTTAATCTGTACTCACAACTAGTCAGCTGGGTGGCTTCCCCTGGAGGAGAGGGGAGGCGGCAGCCTCAGCCCGCGCTCCTGAGGGCCTGGGAAGGGGCTGGGGGCGCGGCCACGAGGGCGGCCGCCGGCCTTACCTTCTGGAGGTCTGTGTGCAGCTGTTTCAGCATCACCTCCAGCTGGTACACCTTGCCCGTCAGATCCAGGGGCGGCTCTTCGCTGCAAAGACAGGTGCAGGGTCAGGCTGGAGGCCCGTCAGCCGCTCTGGGAGGGGCCTCGGCTCACACGTGTGGGGAACACAGGGTACAGGCCACCTCGGCCCCTGAGGTTCTGGCAAGCTCCTGGCTGGAGTGCTCAGGGCGCTGGAAGAGAAGCTCTGAGGGGAAGCCAGAAGCCATGGCTCCTCCCGCCACGCCTCACCCACCGAGGGCACGCCTGTGGTGGTTGCTGACGCCTGCGGGCCTGCCCTGCAGCGTGCGTCTCCCCCGGGGGCCGTGTGCGTGTCCTTAGGGAGCTTTCCCTGTGTGCCCACCTCACGTGGCACATACGAAGAATTCGCTCCACAGACATCCAGAGCCCTGTGTCCCAGGCACTGTCCCTGGAGGCGTGCGCGTGACAAATGGGCAGAAAGGCACCGATACTGCCAGTCCATCCCTTACTGAGAGCCCCACGCCACACGCCTCCACACTCCACCTCAGCCTCTCGGAGCTCCCGGGCTCTGCCTGGCCCACGAGGTCGCAGGTCGTTACCACTGGACAGAGGAGGAAGCCCGGCTCGTCCAGGTGCTGGCCCTGGGATTGGCGCCAGGTCCGACGGCCTGTAGCTCCTCCTCTGTGCAGATCTCCCAGCCCTGGGTGGGTGGGTCGCTGCGGGGGAGGTAGGTCTGCAGACGGCTCCACCGGGCACTGTGGGCTGCATGCGTTCGGTGACGATGCTGAGGAGGGGGACAGGCTGGGGCAGATGAAAGGGGGGGCGGGGTGTCTCAGCCGGAGAGGGGAGAAGACATGGCCCTTTCCTCCTCCGTGGTCCTGAATCCGCACCCACAGCTGCACAGGGAGGTGGCGGCAGATGGGACGAGGCCACCGGTTTGGGGCAAAGGGCCCAGAGGCCCGCCCCTTTCCACATGCCACCCTCTTCCTGCCCCCACGACGCTGGCACATCTCTAACCACCTGTTTCTTTGTGGAATGGCAGTAGGGCCACATCTGGGGTGCAGGATGAGTCCTAAAGCCAGCGTGTGAGACAAAACACAGGACAGTCAAGATTACCCGTGGAAATCGCTTCAACTGCGCACGAGGTGCAGAGCACGGGCTGCGGTAGCTCCAACCCCGCCCCGAGGTGTGCACGTGCCAGATGCACTAGTTGAGTCACGTGCACGCAGAATATGCCATTTCCGCTCTCTCCCTCTTTGTTATTTTTTGCCACGCCGGCGCAGTCAGACGTACTTCACTAAGTGTGAGAGGTCTGCTGCCACGGCCCCCACCCCAGATGAAGCCTCCTGAGGGCAAGGCCTGTGAGTCTCCGTTGTCACCCCTGGGTCCCTGGGCAGCCCAGCACAGGAACTAGGAGGGACGAGGTAAGAGTCTGCATAACTCAAGAGATACGTGGGAGGTGGGGGGAACGAGGGGCAGAGAGGGGAGACAGAGGGGCAGAGAGAGGGGAGACCGAGGGGCAGAGAGGGGAGACAGAGGGGCAGAGAGGGGAGACCGAGGGGCAGAGAGAG